GATAAATAGACAATATTAGCATTTTATGCTATCTAAACTAGTGATCTAATAATGTAGCACTAAAACTACAAGTGAATTTAGGCTTCATAACATTATAATGAACAATAAAGACTCATTTTGTGGGATAGGCTGATGAATTTTTGAGACCCTGATTATAGAAACAAAAGTTTCACCATTAAACATCCCAAGCACCCAATTAGTTACCCTATATGACAAACTTGCGCTGTACATGTTGTACTGCAATTCCCTTTTTGAAGTGATTCAATCATATTTCAAGCAATTCAAAACCATCATGGTGAACAATAGGCTACGCATCTCAACCCGATCTCACGGGAATTCGAATGAATTTTACGAGGTGGCTCATTCGTAACAATTCGTACGACCTCACTCATACGAATTAGTACGATTTTTGCAAATCATACATATTTTACGAATTGGCCAATTCGTATGAATTCATACGAATGACCTACCCCTGACCCGCCCCTAAACCTAACCATCCCATTGGTTTAGACAAATCGTACAAATTCGTACGAGTGAGGTCATATGAATTTGCACGAATTAACCACTTTTTAATCACTCATACGAATTCGTAAGAATTGCTCGTAAATTTTCAATGAACATATGAAGAGTTCAGATGCAAAAGCCTCTAAGTGCCATTTGAAATTTTCTTCTAAAATGATCATTTTTATCAAGCTTGTATATTTAAGTTCAGTAATTTCACTTAAATGGCAATGAAGATTACCTATTAATTGTCATTTAAGTGAAATTACTGAACTTAAATATACAAGCTTGATAAAAAATGGTCATTTTAAAAGAAAATTTCAAATGGCATTTAGAGGCTTTTGCATCTGAACTCTTCATATACAGTGTCGGCCGATACCGATATGGTGGCCGATATACAGTATAGTGCATCCCTGTAATGAACTATTATACATCTGTTCATGTGTGCTTTTGAAATTTGAGATTACCTTGTATACAGTATATTCACATGAAGTGTAAAAAAAAAGGTATGTAGTAAACATGAAACCATATACACACGGGTAATATGGTGCATCTGGAAGATCAGTGGCTGTGTAAATGATATGAGACAGAGGTTTAGATGAGGTCATCTGCTCTCTTTCCAGATCAGAATTAAAATATGAACTCAGCATCTGTTATTTCACATAGGCAGAAAATCACCTGGACCACTAAGAGCACAATGTCTATTTTTAGCAATAATTATGCAATCATTCCATGCATGCTGGAGCCAAAAAGAATGATATGGGTTTTAAATGGGATTTCCATGAAATCCACACACACATCCACACACGCTTTGCCTGGGCTGGATCTGGTTGGCAGGATCTGGTGATATGATCACCCCAGGGCCTGTACTATCTGACAGGCTTATCATCCAACACGCTCACAAGATCAATCAAAACTACATGTTTCTCTGTCTTTGCCTTCTTTCGCTCCACACCCATCGCGTTTCATCAGCGAGGAGCATCATTCAGAGAAAGGCTCCGGGACAGTAAGATGGATGAGAGTGTTTTGAGAGGGAGAGACAGAGGACGTGGCCCAACAATGACGATGCCAATAAGAGAGACCTCGGTTCAGGCAGGAGTGTGAAGCACCCTTACACACATACACACTCGAAACTCAATCTAACACTCTTCACAAAAGCCAGTTCCTTTTGGCAAGTCTCTCTAAAGGTTGTCCTCCATCTGGAGACCCATTAAACTTGAAGGCTGTGATACACTGACTGCCCAATTCACTCGCACAGATCCATATGGCTGTTAGCGCTCTCGGGACCGACACTTCATCTGACCCTCGATAGCCAGGGGGTGCGGAGGTAAACTAGTGCCAGCTTTTTCATGTAAATTAAAAATCTAATTTTAATTTAATTGAGAGTTTGGAATAGATCTATTAGAACTAAGTGAATTACATATAAATCTCAATTTGGCCCATGCAAATTAAAGCGAAGGGTGGGATTTCTTCTAGTAAATATTTAAAAAATGTTATTATATCTTTGAAATCTGTTGGATTAGATGCTAAAAACGAATGTGTTAGTGAGTGAGTGAGTGGGAGGTGTGTCTCCTCCCATGCTGATCCACAGACTGGAAATTACAGAGCATCTGTCCCCAAACGGGCTCCTGAGCATGGCTGTAAAATGCACTGAGCCTCAGCATTTTAGCTGAATTTAGAGTTTTAGAGATTACTGAGGAAATAAATACATTAAAAAAATCCTTTTTTTTTTTTATTTTAATAGTTGACTAAATTTTGCACCTTGCTACTTTAGCCCAGCAGTACATAAATTCTTAGCATGAGAAAAAAAATATTTAAGTAAAATCAAAGTTACCATTTGTTAACAACATTAAGTTTGTTGCACTTTTTTGTCAATTTTGGATTTAATGCTGATGAAGAAAATTCTGAAACTCTGAAAACTCATTAAATTGAGTACGACCATTTATAGTGTTATGTAATAAAATAGTTTAAATATATTCATTTATTTAAACAAAAACAAATAAATAATAGTTATTTCAACAAAAATACATAAAATGTGGGAATTGTGGAAATATCAATGTACATTTTTTCACTGTAAATTATACAATTTGTTCAATAAGGACATTTATTATTTTACAGCAATTGTATGCAGAAATGTTTCAAATACATTTTCCCAGCAACTGTTTATTAATAAAAATCTGCCATAATGTAACCTACAGTATACCCAATTGGGTGTTTGCAGTCTTGTTTTTTTTTTTTTTTTTTACAGCACTGCAGAAAATAACACCTTATCCATGCAAAAGCTGTCATTTTGAAAGGTTACCCAATTTAATTTAGTGTTGATATCACCCACAAATCATGTCATCTATAATAAGACTTTAAATGACATCACATTTTACATCATGATGGATAAACAGCAGCCAATCACAGATATTTTGCCAGTCAGATCTGCCAGCCAAATCCAGGAGAAATAACCCAGATATTACAATCCCAAACCTGATCTTTCTGATGGAACACAAACACACAGCTAAGTCCTAAGAGGCAGAGAGTAAGAAAGAGCGAGGGAGAGAGAGAGAGTACGCGATGTCATTGTAATGTGGCTAACAAAGAAAGAAGAATACATTTCCATGGTGAGCCCGTTGAGGGGCGAACACTCACACTAAACTCATAAATCTCATAGACCACCGGGGCTAAAGAGGCTGTGCTGCCAAGAATAGTGTCAAAATTGTCAAGGGGCGTGAAATTGCAGTGTAGGCGTGTGTTTGTGTTTATTCATGTCTGCTTGTTGTTGTGACTTCAAGAGTAACACGGTGCAACATCTTCTTTGATTTCTTCTTGCGAACATAAAAGCTCAAAAATTTAAATTGCTGAATACCAGAAAAGGAAACATCTGAGGCAACACTTCCTTGACACACTTTCGTTTCAGCTTGGGAATTTACTCCACCGAGAGTAGATCCAGATTTCCATTTCCTTTCAAAATTCCTTAGTACCTTCATCCTTCCTGGAGACACTATTTCTTTCTCTTCCCTTTCCCTGTTTTTCTTATATCAAGAGTTGCATTCGGCTGCTAAAACACCAAAGGGACCAACATGTGACATATAAAAAGTCATCTCATGTCAAGAAAAAAAGCAAACCGTAACCCGCCAGACACATACATACAAGGGTGTCAAATGTCTAGGGTGTCAAAGCGGCAGCACGCCACTGGAAAAACGATGCCAGTCCCTCTTCACTCTATAGTGCCACAAAAGAGCAAGCGTGTGTACAAAATTGGTAATCATAGGCAGTACTGCACTGCTGACAGCAATAAGCGGTCTATGCAAGTCACTCTACACAAGCCCACTGTTTTGAACCAGTAGAGATCAAACTTCTTTTACCTCAGTTCAGCCACCAACGGGGATAATCTCCTAGACTGGCATCCACACAGACAAAAGGCATGTTCAAATATCTAATTAGTGACCAAAGACATTTGGTACAACAGCTTAATGAGGCGGCGATAAGAGTATCATGAAAATATTATTTTGCACGCTTGATGCTCGGGAAGGAGCAGGGACTTTGACCTCCTGTGCTGCACTGGAACATGGGTAATTTTCAACTCAGAGAGGTGCGGAGCCAGGGGTTGAGCCAGTCTCAGACTAGCATTAACCTTAAGCAAAACGTTTTTCCATTATAGCATTGAACATTGTGCTATTGTGTATTCTGTTGCGGAGGTCCAATGGTTGCCAACTAAAGGTTTGGAAATACAGTAATATAATAATATAATGTAATATGATATAATATTCTGCAACTATGTGAAATGGTCTTTATCCAATTCTGGAATCCAGTCCTGGCTTTCATCCTTCTTGCAGCTATAACGTAAAGACAAGTTTCACCAGTGGGTGCAATCCCCAAATTCTGTGCTTCAAAACTAGCTTTGATCCCTGACAAATGCTTCCAGGTAAGTCCCCAATCCAGTTGGGGATTCATCACACACAACAAAGAGTTCTCCTACAAGAACTCTTCCCACAAGACTGTGCAGATCCATAAAATGGGACAACTACTAGAATAAAAGCTAAATGTCTTAGAAGACACTTTTAAAACTGAGAGGTTGAAGACTCATGGGCAAGCGTTCCGATATGCTATCTTTAGGCAACCAGAGTTTGAATCCCAACTTGTGGTCCTTTCCATTCCCACCCACCTCAATCTCTTCCACTTCGCTTTCTATCCACTCCCCTGATTGTTGTTATCAAATTAGGGCAAAAAGGCCAATAATAGATCTTTAAAACAAAATGCTTCCCCATTCAATACTTGTAGGAGTACTTGTAGCGTCCTGTCCCTTGAAACAACTGGTCCTACATGTGCTACTCTCAAGTTGCTTTGGAGAAATGAGTCTAAATAAACGATCCATTCTGAATCTGAATGATTTGCAGAGAAAAGATTGTAAAGAAATGTCTAGAGAAGGTCAAAACTTGGTCAAAAAGGTTATAACTCAAATTCACAAGGGTCTCAGGGTATTCCAGAGTAGGTTAAACAAGTCGACTAACCTGGGCAATCTCGTAAAGCAGCTTGTAGTGCTCCTCTCTCTTCTGCAGCGTGCACAAGTTACAGCCCATCTTGCCGTCGCGGGTCCCCCAACAGATCTCTGGCAGTAGTGCACGCAAACAGGCACCCTGGGGATTTCCCTCAAATGTTGAGTAATGTCTTTCATCAGTGGGTACCTTTCACCCGTTCTTCTTTGTGTAAAAATCACGCATTGACCAGGCTGCCTGATGTAGCAGAATTCCTTGTGAATGACTGTGTGTGTGCATGCATCGTACCCCCTCGATCTCCTTGTGTCTCTCTCATCCACACTAGCTGAATAGCAGTCATCCACACACGCTGTACTAAACCCCTCTTCATAGAGACACACCCCCCTTTCTCACTCGTCCATCTCTCTCTGGGTTCCTCTCTCTCTCTCTATCTATCTAAAGCTCAGTGCACATGACTACACCTACTTTAGCTCATGAATAATAATGAGTATCTGTTGGATATTCATTAAAAGATGATGCGTAGAAGGTGCTGTGCCTGTGTTAACTGGGTATTTATCACAAGGCATTAAATGACCAGCAACTAAACAACACCAACTACATTTCACATTCAGGTAACCCTAATATATTGACTGATTGATGTTGTTTTTTTATAGTCATTAGGGAGAATGCAGTATTTCAAGAATAGAGATCTGACTTATGAATGGAGAATGAATACTATCGGTTTTCAATATTTTCAGTCAAGTGTGAATTATTGTTGTCTAAAGGGATTTCAGCCATTTTGTGAAAACTGTGTCCAATCCAGACATGATGCAATATTGCAATAACAGAAAAAATAATGTATTTTATGTAAATTAGGGTTTTAACCAGATGCTCTGTGGGTCACCCTTGCTGAATGTGAAGTATCATTGGTCCAAAACATCACCACTCATTAGTGTATATCGCTTTGTGTACCAGATTTGGCCACCTTTTATCTGCCTGCAACCTTTGGCTGTAATTGCCTCCCTACAGTGGTAGTTGTAATGAACTTTCAATGTGTTCATGAATCACATGAATCCCATTTCAATGTGTTCATGAAACAAAGCAAAACGACAGAAAGCAAAACAACCATCCATTTAAAAAAAAGTATCAGGACTTTCTCAAGTTGGATCCGAAAACCGAATATCTCGCAGAATAATTGAAATGGCGCTAGACAAACTGGTTGGGTAATTCTGTCACCATTGCATTAAAATTGACAATATTTTGGCCATCAGCCACTCTACTCTCAAAATCAACACTGACATTTTAAACTATAGTATCGATTGACCACTGTATACATGAAGCCACATTCGGTATCCTGGACAGGGGCAAGAAATCAACAACTGAAAAACCCTTATTGGATGACCACTGTTCTGAATATTGCAGGGGGACATCTGAAACTCATACTCTATGGTGATAATGGACCTGCTGTATTTACCCACACATGTCAGTGTTTGATAAATTAGATTTATCTTGAAAGACAATGGTCCAAAAATATGCAAAAGAAACAGGAAGAGACACAGACCTCTATTGATTGTCGTCAAATTAGTTTCCAGATTCACAGAGAGAGAGTAAAAGCGAGAGAGACACAGTGAGAACAGCATACCATAGAGGCAGTTGTCCACTGGCTGCGAGACTGCTCTCTTGGGAAGGAATAATCCGATTTGCAGAGCTTTAATTTCACTCAGTGGGTTTGGAAAGAATCTGAGCCAACTTTGCCCCAATAGGAGTTTCTCTCTTCCAAATACATCCCTCAACAATCCTCCACAACGTGTGCCTGGAGATACTGAATTCTGGAAGGTTCTTACAAACTCCCTTTCCTCGCCATTGACACAATTTTCCATCATTTATGAGACACAGCTTTCCCTGCCATTGACGTAATTTTATGCTAATACACATCTTCTGAAAGAGAACAGATTCTCCGGATCAAAACAGGCAAAAAAGAAGCAGAAACAAGCGATAAAAGCATTGCTTATGCATGTTGTAGTCTTAAAAAACAAAAAACACACAACTTTCTCAGCTTATTGTTCAAAATGTTGCTTTGTAATGAAACCACATTCAAGTAATCCATGAAGTTGGAATAAAACTTTTTTTTAAGCAGCACCTCTATTATTTTGATATATTGCATGTTAAAATATTCATGTAACAAAACATTTTGGGGGCCATGTACGTTCTGTTAAAAAATGCTGCCGTTGGCTGACTGGCTTTTGAAAACGCTGGAGAGGAAAGAATTTAAGACTATTTCCAGACTATTGTAATCAGAGATGATTGATAAAGATATTAATAAATCAATATTTAAATATAAAATTAATAAATAATCACAACTACTACTAATAGAATAAACAACAACACAAATAACTATAATATTGTTTGAAAGGTAAACGCTTTAAAACAAACCATGTTTACTCAATCACAAAACATCACCTACTGGTAATGAATCAATATTAAACAGAACCATTAACCATCAAAGGGTTTCTTTTTCATTTAATCCCATTTCATTTAATTCAATGACATTCCATTCTATTCTATCCCTTTTCACTCTAATTCAAAGTTCTAATCCATATTCACCAAGGAGGGAAAGGTCATCTGCAGGGATCAGAAGGCACTGTAGCAGATAACATCAGCTGGTGACACCACGGGTCACTGAAGATGACCCCAAAAGGTGACATCATCAGATAGAAGTGCCTAGAGATGCTACAAAAAGGTGACCACACGTATCTATTGGGTGTCTGAAATTCCTGATACTGCTTAATAGTATGTCTGAGTTGGCAAATACAGCTAAAGCAATGCCTGTCAATTGGTTAAGATTAGCATTCATACCTCTACTCTTGTTTTATCTGCGCTTAAGACAGCAGAGGTGTGTGATCTTTCATGTATACCGTCCAGGCACCTTGAGAATTGCCCTTCTGTTCTTTTGCAAGCAAGGGCAGGGGATGATGTGAAACACCCTTCAGTGTCATTCACACAATTAAGACGAGTCATCAGTTTAGAGATACAAAATCCGGCAGATATTACCATCTGGACCTCTGATTCCTTCGAGCATGATACAAGTTTTTCATTAAAGTCCCATGTGTTAAAATGATAAATAAATGAAGTTAATTATGGTCTAGAGCCATTAATCACGTCACAAATATCTACTGGATGGCCTTTACCTATTATCAGGGATCATTATGTAAACAATACTGCATTACGTAATTGATATATATTATTTAAGGGCTATTTGAGACCCTCAAGTGTATGTGAACACCTTTAGATGACTGTTCACACCGTACATATACTGGAAAACACAGACTAAAATGATGCATCCTGAGCAGGTGGTGTTTGAATGGAGATATCAGCATGACTGAGGGCTAATGTGCCGTGTATCTCAATGCCCAAAAAACATCAATTATTTAAACCTATGAATCATTAATTGGAGCAAAAACACCAGTATAGCTGTTGTTAGAGCCCAGGTTGAGGGAAAGAAACGTGAAAACACTCCAAATAGAGATGCTTCAAAAAGCGATGATGTTGAAAATGCATGGGCAGCGAGAGTTTGGACGAATACAATAAATATCAAACAACTATCTGTTACAACACTGTGCAATATAAACTTATGAAACATTAATACAGTAGGGTGCAAAAGTCTCAGACTACCACAAAGATGGGTTTCAAGATCTACTGAAATTTAAAACTAGACCAGCCAGATGTTTGTATTGTACAGTAGTTGTTTCAGACTTTTAGACCCAATGCATACTATCTAGAGTTCAATTTGTCAATTTTTACATAAACGCATTGTAAATAATGAAAAAAAGTAAATTATATATACATTTTTTATACAGTTTCTTTTGTTTAGCTGGTCTCTGATTTCAATTCAGTGAGTTATAAAGACACAAAAAGACTAAAAGACACAAAGCCACTTAGCAAGTGCTTAGTTTAGTGATTAGATTAGGTAACGTTAATTTTCTACTACCTCAAAATAAAAAAAAAGAGATCATGAATCGTGTCAGTGTGCTAAAAATGTAATTAATTCAGTTTGTACAAAAGCATAGACAAGTACTTGGAGTTTCTGAATAGTGTTTTAAAAGTTTTAAACAGCAAGGCCAACCAGAGTATTGCAATCCATTTACATTTGGAGCAAAAAAAATAATTAAATAAATGTGATTTCTGAAAAAAACTGACAGTGTGCGTGTCCTACGGCAAATAGTGCAATAGGGCCCCAGGTCCTGTCATGATACAGCGGACAGACAAATTGAAACTCATCTGCATCTTCGCAGACCATCCCATTCCCACACACATTCAGACCTGCTCTCACGGACCGCCCCAGTAGTGGCACTAGGGCACGATAACCCCCAAGATAAACACACACACTGCTGGAGCCCTATTCCATCTCTGATGCTTTAACTCAATAGACCACTCCTCATAAAATCATTATGGGGCTTCCCTTGTGCCCCCTCCGGCTTCCACTCTCAGGTGGTCGGATTGGAAACAGCACTGGAGGGCCCCTTTACAGCCAAACAGCATCTGTGCCAAACATGAGATGCCTGCCATTAAGAACTGAAATAAAACTGCTCGCCATGGCTGAGATTACTATTCGGTTTTTATTTCAACAGCAGGGCTACCGTAAAGTAATGCCGTCCTGTGTCTGACTCCATCCTTTTCTCTCTAGTCTCTTCAAACTCATCTCTGTCTCCCTCTCCTGATTAGTTGAACGTCCGCTTGGTGTCAGGTTGCTCATGGCCAGCTGTCTGCTGTTGCTTCACCTTTGCCCCACATTTATTGTCTTAAATGAGCCACTTCACACTTCCTACGCAAAGCGAATGTGAATCAATCTCACGAAAAACATGTTCTGGTCATTCTTAAAAAAAAAAAAAATAATAATATATATATATATATATATATATATAATATGCAAATAATACTATATTATATGTTACAACAACAATAATTATAATTATTATTACATTTAATTGTATATTATAGCCTATTAAATTATCACCCATTATATTGTAAAAGTAGTTTTTAATAACAATGTTTTTTTATTTGATATGATTTAATATTATATATTAAAAGCTTATTATATATTAGAATTATTATTAAATTATTAATTTTTGAATATGAATGTGAGGCCTTATACTATTAAGATTATTTTTGCACTGTGCCATTATTTTAAAAGACAACTACAAATATTCTCTCAGTTAAATCTTATTACGTTTGTCACTATCATTTCTTTATATTTTTGGGGAGAAATATATGTAACAATTGCAAATTAATCAGTTATATTATGAAATTATAATAAATATTAAAAAATATTATTACATTTAGAGTTAATACAAATAACACAAGTCTATGGTATATCTT